AGGCTCTCACCAGTCTCATCTTAAAAAAATTCTTCCTTGTATCTAGTCTGACCCTACTCTCTTTTAGGCCATCTAGTCCAACTCTCCTGCAATGAGTGGAGACATCTTTAATTAGACCATGTTGCTCAGAGCCCAGTCCAACCTGACTTGGAATGTTTCCAGGAATTAAACATCTACCACCTCTATGGGCAACCTGTGCCAGGCTCTCACCAGTCTCATCTTAAAAAAATTCTTCCTTGTATCTAGTCTGACCCTACTCTCTTTTAGTTGAAGACCATTATACCTTGTCCTGTCCCTACAGGTTCTATTAAAAAGTCTGTCCCCATGTTTCTTATAAGCTCCCTTTAGGTAAAAGGCTGCAACAAGGTCTCCCTGCAGTCTTTTCTTCTCCAGGATGAACAACCCCAACTCTCTCAGCCTTTCCTCATGGGAGAGGTGTTCCACCCTTCTGGCCATTTCTGTGGCCTCCCCTGGACTTGCTTCAATAAATTCATCTTTTACATCATAATTCTTTCAGTTGAATCCAAACATCACTGTGTCATTTTCTCGTAGTCCATCATACCCTCCAATTTCCACTTTCTTCCCCCCAAACTTTCTCTAAGCTTATTATCCCATTTCTGCCCATTTTATATTGTTCAACCAGTCCCTAGTCTCTTCTGCTGGTCATTGCTTCCCAGCCTCTTTACCTGACCTTATTCTTCCAGGCTTTGGGAAACAGGATCAAACAAGCTGATAAACCCTTCAAGTTCTGAAGGAAGCTTAGTGTGTGAATTTAAGGGCTGGTGTTTCTGTAGGTAATGGCCTGAACCAAACCCTAAACTGAAACAACCCCAGGTTTCTGGTTCCAAGATACGCAGCACAGTTCAAGTCCTGCTATGACAGCAAAGTGACTCTGGCCTGTCTGCAGTGTATGACAGGTGCAGGGACAGATTAAATAGCAAGACAGCTCCCATCACATAAAGGCACATGACCACATTACACTCCCTGTTAATGGAAATGAGTGCTTTGTGGATGAGACAAGCTGTGTGTGCAACTGTTGCAAATTCCAACAAGGAAGTCCTTTGGCATAGTCCCATTTGCCTCTGCCAAAACATTCATAGGTCTTATTACAGGCAGATTTCTTAGGAGGAAGACTGTTCACTGAAACTGAAAAAAACCACCTGGGCTGCATGCTAGTACTTGATCTGGGGTGAAGAGGCTGTTGTTGTCCATGGCTCTGGGCTAATTCCTGTGCTGTTGCCAGCAGGCAGTGCTTAACACGTGAACTGCTCTCTGGCTCGTGGTGCAGGGGGGGGAGTCATATTTTATCAATAGTTAAGGCACAAAGGAGTCGGGAGAGGAAAGAACTGTTGTTGAACTGTCCAGTGAGTACTGAAAGTTGGCTTGTTTAACCCAAAACAAGTGAGGCTTTCTGAAGCTCAGGGATCCTTTTTAGGCTTCATTTTTAATCCAGGAACAAGAGAATTGTTTGGAGTTCATGTATATGGTGAGAGTCTTGTAATGTGTTTCCAAGATTTGGGTATCATCTAAAAGATGTGGGCATATATGAGAGAGAAATATTGCCTGGAAATGCCTGCAGACTCGTGATACTGAAGGTGTTACATAAATTATGCTCAAAAAAACCACACAGCTGCACTACTTCCATACTAAAGCTGTGTAAAAGAAATGCCTGTGTGTTCCTGTTTGTAACTCATTTCAGCTTTACAATTGTCAGCACCCCAGATGTTTTTCATACAGCAACTTTCTTCATTTTTCTCCTCCCCTAGTCCAAAGTCAATAAGTAATGGGGGAACTATTCATCTTTTCTCTCCCAGATGCTGCGTCACTTTTCCTTCACTTTCCACTTTTTCAGATGACTTGTATTGTGGTTTATGATCTTAATATCAGGGTGGGCTCTTCTGCACCCATTTGTTTAAACCTGACATTACAGTCCTTTGATACTAGGTTTGCTGAAAAAAATCCTAGTTTCACTGCCTGGATGGTGCAGAGCTATGTTTACTCTACCTGATGCTGGGGGAAAGGTGAACTACCTCTGTATATCCCATTTGGCTACAGGATGTACAGGCACAACACCAGCCCAGAGCTGAGGAGGCTGAAATGAGGGAAGGATTTCCTGGCTCACTGCTGCCACCGAGAAGAAGAGCAGTATAAACCAGCTATTGCATGAGAAAGAATAGCTGTTTTTCATCCCCATCTTTGAAACTGGGGAGGGTTTGTTAGCACAAAGCAAAGAGATTTGCTACAGCCAACCTTTTCCTGCCCCTTCAAACAGCCACTCCAGCACTTCCTCTGGGAGCAGGAAATGTTGCTGTAATCATAAGAGTATATTATATTAGCATAATGTCATATCAATAAGACTTTTGCTGTCTCCACATTCTGCATTCTGGCAAGACTTATAAACTAAATAGGAACGATTTTTACAATCATGTTCTCTGTCTATAAACATAACTTAATAAAGCATTTAGAGTTCTGAGGGGAAAAGAAACATTTTCAAAAAACGCTGCAACTGTAGAGTACATCTGCTTTTCCTCATACTGTGATCCATAATGACTCACTGGATTACACTGAAGGAAACCCAGTGCTGTTGAGCTATGCTAGACATATAAAGACAGTTCTTTTCAAAACTGTCAACAGCTTTTGAATTACTATTTGGCCTCATCAACAGGAGCTAGTCACTGGACATTGAGTTGGTAGATATGATGATAGGTCTCAGACTTCTAGGTGGTTTAGACATTAACTAGGTGTGGCAATCATCCTGTGCAGGCAAACTCTTACATGTATAAGTCACCCAATTATTATACATAAATACTATCAAACACAAACTCAAGCCTAGAGCTCTGGATTGAAAGGTGGGGTGGGGTAAAAAGGTTATCAAGCCTGCCTCAGCAAAGCTTCTGTGCACTGTCCTTGTGGGTGGGGGAGCCAGGTCTCCTGCAGAGGGAAGAGCTGTGTGATGCTTATGAAGCCTTTGAGAAACTGGATGGTGTTACAGGAGAGCTAATGGCCCCTAAGTAACAGTGCTTTGGAAAATCTGTACATAACTCTAGTGATTGATTTCTGCTGTACATGTCAGTGCTGCTAGTGTTGTCAACTTTATTCTATGGGAAGGTTATGGCAACCTCTTGGAACAAACTTCAAACTGAACCATAGGTATCTGTGACAGTGTCCCTTAAGCAACATTTCCCTTCTGTGCTTGATTATAACTACCGTGACACCCACAGTGGAGAGAGTGAGTCTCTTAACTCCCAAAGCAGCCGAGAGTGAGAGGAGGAGAGCAGAGCTTGCACTGTGCTAGACTCAACCAGCCTTTCACACAAGTTGCATTGGACAACGGAGTTAAAACTTTTGAGAAAGATGAACTTATCTTGGCCTGTTATTTCCTGACTGAGAGTATCTGAGATCCCCAAGAATATGTCCACCAAACCCAGGGCTGATGTTCTGTCTGTTGGAAAGAAAAAGAGGAAAAGTAAAGGAATGCAAAATAAATTCTGAATAATCTGGAAATATTTACATGTGTTTGCTGTGATTTCTGTGGGACTCTGCTACAGTGCTTTGAAGCTAAACGAAATCTTTGTAGGTTTGGTCACTTATTTAGCCAGGCAATTCTTTTCTGGCCTAAAGCAAGTGATTATTTTTTTTCAGTTTCTGTAAGAGTGAAGCCTACCACTCCTTTAAAAAAGCATGTATTAAAAAAATTATTTAACAGTAGCATCCTCAGATGCCTCAGCTGAGAGTAATCTTACTGTAATGTGGTCATGTTTTCATAGGGTTACCTTGGAAGGAACTGTATGTTCCTAGATGGGACAGTAGATGATGACAGAAGTACAAATTAGGATAGCAAAGAGGAAAAAGCAACAAGGCCTTATCTTTTTCCTTGGATAGTGCTCCTTTTGAATCCACAATAACTGAAACTGTAGGAAGAGTACACCCATTGTCAATCTTACAGAAGTGTAGACTACAACCCTGCTTTTTCTGGGAAGAGATTGAAAGAAATAGCCTTGCTGTTCTGCATCAGCAGGTAAAACATGCATCCCCCTCAGCCTGGGCACAGCTTGCCCTGCTGTTTTCCAGCATTTGTGCCAATGTGAATATATCACATGAGGTGATCAAATGCCGAATGTGGTATTTCATTGTTTAGTCTAAAGTTTAATCACTGTGTGCTGACTCAAGACTTAACATTTGTCCTAGTTGAACTGAGTGCTAACCCATTGTCAGCAGTGATTTTTGTGTCTTAAGTAGTATAGTATAGCAATGGTTTGTATGGGTATGTGCTTGGATTATAGAAGATCCTTCAGGTGAAAACAATCATATTCATATTCAATGAAGATAAAAAGGTGAGATACAAATGTACAAGCAGTAAGAGTAAAGGAGTGGTTTTGAGAGTTGATGGCATAGAAGGAAAATGTAATAGCATATCCTGTAGAACAGATACACTGTACCAGATTCTTAGTGTCCTTCCAACAGAGCAAGACAGCTTGCTTTCAGGATTGTGTTTACAAGTAACTGTAAGAGAGAGTGCTAAAAATTCAATGTATTTTTTCATCCTGATGAGTAGAACAGCATATTGCATGGTATCTTGTATCTAAAGGAAAATTTAAGAAATGGAAATTAAAAATCAACTATTTTGTGCACCCTACATCCTCTAAGGAAGTCTGAGTGGACTGATGGTTTGCCAGAGACATTTTTTCCATAGTAGACAGATCTGATTATTGCTTTTCTGCCTCCTCTGCAAAACAGAGATGATATTTCTTCACATTTTAGATACCTCCAAAGCTAAAGCAACAAATGTTTGTAATTTGCTTTGGTATTCTGGGACACAAATTTTTCTGGTGCTTTTTTGGTAAGTACTAGGACTTATACGAATCATGATTTCTCAGACAGGCTTTATCTTCTGTCAAAGACTGTAAGAAGTTTAGGGCTAGCAGAAAGATTTCTGAAAGCTGTACTACATATTTGACAATCATATCCCTTCTGAAGATTTTCATGTATTTTATCTTCAGGTTGTTAACATCCTGCAGCAAGTCATCACTTGAGCCTAACGGTTTGCAGAAAAAATAAGTGATACATGAAACTGAATATAATTAAGTCTTACATTCTGGACCCTGATGAGTGATACACAGGGAGAAGTAGAAGATGGTGAATCTCACAGAGAATGCAACTGAGAAGTGCAGTATCAATCATGATATCCAACAGGCATTATCTCCTGTGGTATACATATTTGTATTTATAGTAGGCTTGCCAGCTAACTGCCTGTCACTGTACTATGGGTATTTACAGATCAAAGCTAAAAATGAACTGGGCATCTACCTTTGCAATTTGACTCTAGCAGACCTGCTCTACGTGCTTTCTTTGCCGTTTTGGCTTCAGTATGCTTTACAGCATGACAACTGGACCTACGATGAGCTGCTGTGTAAAATCTGTGGCATCATTTTGTATGAGAATATCTACATCAGTGTTGGCTTCCTCTGCTGCATCTCCATTGACCGCTATCTCGCCGTGGTACACCCTTTCCGCTTTCAGCAGTTTCGGACAATGAAGGCTGCTGCAATTGTGAGCATTGTTATCTGGACCAAAGAAATAATGACATGCTCCTTTGTCTTTACACATGGGGAGATCAGTATGGATGCTGAGAGCCACGTGGTGTGCTTCGAGCATTACCCCATCAAGGAATGGGAGCACAATGTCAACTACTACCGCTTCTCTGCTGGCTTCCTGTTCCCCCTCTTTCTGCTGGCCTTCTCGTACTGTGGGATTTTACGAGTCGTCCACAAGAGTCCTGGCACTCAAAAGAAGAAGAAAATCCAAATTAAAAGACTGGTTTCGAGCACTGTGTTCATATTTTTAGTATGCTTTGGACCATACCACATCCTACTTGTAGTTCGTAGCTTGTTGGAGAACAACTGCTCATTTGCCGAGAAAATATTTAATGTTTACCATATTTCTCTCCTGTTGACTACTTTCAACTGTGTTGCTGACCCAGTATTGTACTGTTTTTCCAGTGAAAGCACTTACCAGAACTTTGTCAAGATGCGAGACTCTTGTCTGACATGTTTAGGGCATTTGAGGACTGAGCCAAAGGAATCCTATCCACTGAACACTGCGGAAACTCCCAACAGGACACAGCAAGAGCAACAACCAGGGTTATTACAAATACCACTTGATGGTACTGGAATGAAGGACTCCTCCACAACTAATATGGGCAGCCTATAGCATTAATCAAAAAAGGACATTAATCTTAATTCTGCAGCTATGGCCACGTTTGTATATCCATCTGAATTGTGTATTACAACAGTGTAACCTCCCAAATACTTATAAGCAATGCCATACAGTGAGGTCACTTCTGGAGGTGCTTGGACCTTGGCAATAGTGAGGAAAACACATGCTAAGTCAGTTCAGTTACAATCACCTGTCTGTTGTTGTTGTGCTACCACTTAAAACCTATTATCTTGATGACTCCATTGAGTGGAATAAAGCTAGTATTGAAGATGTGTGGTTCTGTTGAATTTGTCTTTAACTTTCTGTTTGCCCCTGTAGCATCTAGAGAAAATAATTCTCTACAAGCTGTCATCATCTGTTGAAAAGGTCAGAGAACAAATTAAATGTCCCCATATGTACTTCTAAGAAGAAAAAGAAAAAAACAACCCATATTTCTGAAACATTTCTGTAACTCTCTGAAATAACTTCTCCTTCCACCAGTTTTGAGGCCTGCAGAGACTATGCCAGAACCAGACTCTGAAAACAACCAGTCCAATAACACAAGATGTTGTGGGAGAACACACACAAGCAACTCGGCATCTGCTAAGATCTTCACTCTGGTTTTGGCTGTTGAATCTCAGACTCTTAAACTTCATCATAAGGCTCCTATAGACTTCCAGAAGTATGAGAACTCTTGGCTCTGATGGGAATAAATGATGTGGTTTGTTGGCTTGGAAAAGAACAAGAGGTTGGTAGTATGTGAGGCACTTAGATCCCATGTGCTTCTTTGAGCCAGCATGTTCAAAGACACATTTAGTTACATCTAAATTTTACTACACCTTGCAATGGTTTTGCTTGAGTCCGTCACAATTTGTGTGTTGTGTGCAGCATAGCCCATGGAGGCAATGAAATCACAATGCATTTGTCAGGGAAACTGTTGAATGAATTCTGTTGAGACTGTTTTCTCCCCCAGATACTACAGTTTAGGGTTCAGTCATTGTTCAGTAAATACAGTATCAGAAGTATGATTATGAATGATCCATGTTTCCTGGTTTAGCCAGAAAAAAAATACAGGAATAAGTGGTGAATAATGGCTTTTAAAGATGTGGGAGTTGTGCTCTATAGTATTGTTTCTACCACCACCTCCAATCTAGGGGTTTTTTTCTTTATTATACTAAGGAATTTTGTGATTCTTCTTTGTGAGCTGCTCATCATACCTTACCACAGCTGTAACTGTTACATCATGAATACTGCCTTGTCCTCTGGTTTCAGACCTTTCTTGAAACGCTTCTCTCTCTCTCTGCAACCTGAAGCTGATAAATTCCAGCAGTATAATCAGCTTTGTTTCCTTGGTTTGTTTTTAAGTCATAAGATTGTCTAGACAGATGGCCTACTCCTGGTATCAAAAGTGTGTCATTGTAACACAGCCTTGTTTGTCCTCAGATTCCAAAAGGAACCTACTCTTAACAGTTTTCTGGAAACCACCTTGAGAGGGCAATATCGGCCCCTAGTCATAATTATAGGATGTATTTAATAAAGAACGCTTATATTATTTTCTTCTGATACTTGTTCACTCTGCTTGAAATAACTATCTTATGGCTTTGGCACACAGTTTCTATTTGTGAGATTACAGATCCTCTCCTCCCTCCTCTTCCAGAAAGGCCTCATGTCCCCACTCCCAGGAGGGGATTAGTTTTGCTTAGGTTAACCTTTGGTTTGTTTAATTATTTTACATTTCTTTATACTTAGACCACTCAGCTGGATTAATTATCTTGAATCTGCATTTTTTTCTTCTGACTGCTAGTGCTGTTTAGCTTTATTTTCTCCTAATCTTTTATCTAATCTCCTGTCTGTTTCAAGGGGGTCATGAGGCAGGAACTCCTGACTGCCATAATGCTGTGCTTGTACGTTGTTACACACTGAGCCAACTACTTAAGACTCTCACGACCTGGCAGGCTGCAAGACACACACGTGGTTTGTTCTAGGATTAAATATTTGTTGTTGTGTTTATGCTTTATTTCTTTGCAGTTACCCATGTTGTTTAAATTAGACAGCTGGAATGCAGAGCATGCTGTATTACATGGAATTGTCATCTGAGGGATTAAGGCTTAGTTGAGTTGGGACTTTGATGTGGTCAGCTTTTGGTCAGCTGCTGCAGTTTAAAATCAGATGGAAACTTGTGTAATGGAGCTCAGCGTTCTGCTACAGTTCTCAACACTTAACCTGCTAACCCACAAGGGAAGGGAGGGATTTTTTTTCTTGGTTTTTCCTTTTTTTTCCCCCCTGAAGCCAGTATTTAATCAATTCCTTCTATATTGTTAACTGCTCAGCTTAGGCTGCAGAACTGTAACCAACATGGCAGGAAAGTAACTCCCACTCAGAGCTTTGCTTTCCATCTCAGCCAGAACATAGTCTATCAAGGGTCCTGCTGTGGATGCTAGAGATACGCTACACATTTCTATTGCAGTAAATACAGTGCTTGGGGCTGCACACCAGAGGGGGTTTTAAAAGCATGCATTAGAGAAAAAGAGAAATAAATTATTAAATTTTGTATTTCTTAAGGAAATCTGACTGTTACAACTTTTACTTTGGAGGAAAAAAAAGAGCAAAAGCTTACTAAATGAATTTTTTTTGACAATAGTTAGTGTTTGGAAAGAATAAGATACACTGCACCTGTTAGTGTAACATGTCAGTAAGCTACTGAGCACGTAGCACATAGAGAAGGAAATCAGCTGCTTCTTTTCCCAAACAGACATTTTAAAATGATGCCAATTTCATTTTGTGGGTTCTATGCAGCAGTGAACATATGCCATCCTGTGGGGTTAATGGCTTTGGCAAAAAGCTCAAGCATTTATATGAAATATTTTCCTTAATACTTACAGTTTGGAGAGTTGGAAGACTTCTAAAGGAGATATTTTCTAATTGTGAACCTTCCAAGGTAGCTTTTATGTAACATCCTTTGAGTAGGTTTTAAATAAAATGAATCTGAAAAAATGATTGATCTATAAAACAAACATTGGGACCTTTGGTGAATCTGAAATGTCTAGCGGCATGTCTGGCATTAAGATTTCTTTCTGTCACGTGTTCAACTACTTTAAGTCTTTAAAGGCTGTGTATCCTCAATGACTTCGGAATACAAATGTTCAAAATACGCTGGTGTTTGTGGTATGAACTGATTTTTCTCATTCTCAAAATGTTATTTGTCTTGCATCAAAGAAGGAAAACCAAACTCACTTACCAGAATGAAAAGCAGGTACAAGGTGCTGCTGACTGTTGAAGTCCACTGTCCTTTGGAAAGGCAGTGGCTAAACTCAACTTCCATTCTTATCCTGTTAAAGCACAATAGTTTGATGCTCACCTTTTGAAGCACTATAGTCACATTACAACAGCTAAAACAGCCTGAGAGGTGCAGTGTCCAACATACCGTGTCCTCTCTGCTGCGAGGGCTGCCAACCAGCAGAACTTCAGCCCTGACACTTGTCTGGAGTTAAGGTAAAATCACAGCTTTAAACGACACAAGTCAGGCACAATTCACAACCATTTGTCACCTACTGGTTCAGCATTAGTAGGCCTATGAGACACAATTTAATTTTACCTCACTTAGGCTTATGAGGAGCTGAATTTCTATAACTAGAATTCATGTAAATGGTCATTTACTCAATGCTATTTTATACCGAATGCAAAAGTTTATTCATTTCCAATCATGCTTTAATTGCTAAGCATTAATTTCAATCAGTATTTATGTATCCAATTAATTTATGCTTAACAACAGGATATTCTAAAATGTCTACAACCTTCCTGGATTACCCAGAAAGGGACAAAATACATCAGTGGCAAACTACTAGTACAACAGAGGTGAAAGGCATAGCCTACCCTGTACAAGGAATGTCTGCAGTGCTGCCCTTATTTTCATTAGCTCAGTTAAAACTCATTCCTTATCTCCTCACACTTCCACAAGCTATCTGCCAGCATAAGAAGGCAGTGTTGAGGGGCTGCAGGAAGTGTGTAAGGAAGCTTTCACTTCTGTAACACTTACTGGGGTTTTGTTTTGAATCTCCCCTCTCCACTGCAGCTGCTTTCCTCGCCACAAGGTATTTTTAAATCCAAGTTGCTATGAGAGTTACTTCCTGTTGCAGTTATGAGGTTAGTAAAACAAGAAGAGTAATGCAATAATGTTTCCCTGTAATTACAAGTTTTCTTTGTAAAACCCAGTTCACCTCTTATTATATATCGTTTAACATCCATCCTCCACTAGGAAAGTACAGAAAAGAAAGGTAGACAAAATCATTGTGATGATACCCTCTTTTTGCTTCACAGGGATGTTGGAAGGATAACAATGGAAGGTTGTGCATGGGCAAGACACCAGACACGAAAAGTCATCTTTTTTTTCTGATCTTTTACATCTTGTGAGAGCTTCGGGAATAGGGAAATGACATGGGAACGACTCTTGATGCAGAAATCATTAGGGGCAGTCACTGTTGCACTTCTTGCAGCAGCTTTTCAATCATGAGTGAATGGGTGTTGTAGAAGGGCAGCCCATCCACTTCCATTTCTAGACTGGCAGTTTTTCCGCTGCGCACCCCGAGCTGCACTAGTGTCTTCAGAAGCTTTTCTTCCTTAAAAACCAAAGAAATAGAGTATAATTAAAATTCTGAATCAGACAAGAGCATTCATCAAGATCTTTATTTTAATTCAGAGAGATTGACTACATCCTCCATATTTATTTTGCCATCAATTTGCTAACACTTTTGTCCCAAAGAATATGTTTAGCAACTGGAGCTTCGGGAGCGTCAGAAGGCTTATATTCTTGACTGCTATTTAATTACTGAATGATATTGTTGTTCTCCACACTCCCTCAAACAGAACATTAGTGTCAATTCAGAAACATGAATCACTTTTTGCCTGGTTTCAAGTTCCTATATTGCACAAATCAGAATCAGAGGAACCTCCACCCAAAGTATCTCAAAAATCTAAGTGTGGTTTCCCCAGTGAGGCAGCTGGCTGCAGCTGCATTT